GGGGAGGCTAGCAAGGGGGGGGTGACTGAGGTGGGCAGTGGGCTGCAGAACTGCCGAGGAGGGGGAGCAGGCTGTGAAGGGAGGAGGGTGGCGGGGAGGAGGCTGTGGAGGAAGGGTTGTGGAAAACAGCCCATGGACGCAGGAAGGCCTGGGGTTAGGGAGCAGGGGTAGCGCCGAATCTTGCTCGGAAATACAGATCTGATGTGTGGGGTCAGCAGGCGCTAAGGAGGGGCTGAGGTGGATGTCGCAGGACAGCGGTAGGGAAGGAGTCGGGAGCTGGGTGGGAAGTGATGGTGAGATAACGGGGCACAGTGGAGCGGGGGGCTGAGGCGGCTCTGTCAGCCTGAGGACCTGTGGTGTAGGAGGCTGCCCTCCTGTCATTCCCTCCTGGGAAGCCACATATGCCTGTGGGGCTCATTGGGGGGCCAGAGAGGATGAACTGGGCGTGAAAGGCTTGGAACAGTTTTTCCCTATTCCCTGGAAGATGGTGCTGTTTGCCTCTGAAAGAGGATTTGAAGGGAGTTAGATACCTAAGGCTTGTAATGTGACTGAAGGCAAGAGCTGGTTGGTGTTCTATGAAAATGCAACATAAGGGGACCAGGTATCTCTGGATTATGCCGAACCTAAGGCATTATCTCGAATTCCTTGATATTTGTTGTGTAATTGTGGGAAGTACTCCTCACTTCGCCTTTGTGTAAGGAGGTTAACGTTGTTTTGCGGAGGATTGAGACTTTCCATTTTTAAAGTCATGCTGAAGCTTCTGAAGGGAATGGAAAGCGGTAGAGATCAAGTTAGCTGTCTAGCATTATAAGGAGGGGACTTTGTGGTCAGGGTATGCAGTAGTATGGTTTGTTAATCCCTGGAAAGGTATTTTTTCTTCTTTTTCTTCCTTTCCTCCCTTTTCCTCCTTTGCCTATATATGTATTGATGGGAAAAATGTTTCTCATGTGGCATAAATGACCAAGAAGACTGGGAACACCTCAGCATCTGGACTGAGTGATGACACAACCCCACCGACACTTTTCCTTTGGCTTGTCCATTGTGGATTTCTGTCTCTGAGTGAAGGGTTTGGGCAAGGAACAGGGGTCTGCGTTGGGTAAGACCGTTCCTTCCAGAAAGGAAGCCAGGCAGAGGAGAAGCTGTGTGATAAAGATCCCACGTTCCATTCTTGATGGCGTTGGGAAAATAAAAAAGCTCAAGCTGTTACTGTCTTACTGGGGAATTCCAAGTAAAATTATTTCAAAATTTTGAAAAAGTGTAAATGTCACTATTGCCAGTAGTCAAGTGGTGTCGTTATCTTCCTGCTTATTCCCTATTTCCATCTGTTGCCTTGGTTGTTTTAGATTAGGTCCAGATCCTGTGGCTTGTCTCCAAGCAGGCTGATTTCTGCAGCTGAGAAGAGGGAGTTTTATGATTTGGGCTCTCGACTGCAAGTTTCTGGGTTAAAGAAATGCATCTGTGGCACCCAGCCCTGTGGGACTTCAGTCCTGGCTGAGTTTGCACGGGAAGTTTGCCATAGACATTACCAGATCAGTGTAGCTGACTGAGATTAGATCTTGACAGAGCTCTCTGTGGTTTTGTGGATGTATGTATATCCCTCTAAAGAGTGATTTATGCGCAGGGGCTGTTCACGCACCTAAGGATTACACAGAGTGACAGGATACAAATACTTGGAGTAACTTGCGCTACCTCACATGCTCACAGCAAAGTGAGTCAGAAGGAAGGGAAACCTCCCGTTGTGGAGGTTGCGCCATACTTTTGCATCATCTCTGTAAATCAGTGTGTGAGGATGCAGGCATCCCTAGTCCCACCTTAGAATGTCCCCTGCAGTTCTGCTTTAGGAGCAGGCCTGTCTCAGTCAGGGTTTCTGTGCTGAAACCTTGTCATCCTTTCCTGAAGATTACTTTTTCCTGAGTATAGGATTCTTTCCAGATAAAACATCTCTTTTCTTCCCTTGCTGCCCAAATCTATGCGGAAGCCACGTTGTTGAAGCCTGCTTAGCGTGTGTTGTCTTCAGTGACGCTGAGTAGAAAGGCAGAATTGCCCCTGGAATGGGGTAGGCTCTGTGGATATAACTTCGCAGCCAAGAGCTTGTTTAGGGTCTGCTGAGGTTTCTGAATATTGCGTGACTTGTGTTCTGTGCAGTCGTCTCGCAGTGTGGACACACCATCGGCCTGAAATTCAGTGAGTCCCACTCTGCTGCTATTTAAATATACAGTAAAAAAGGTGTTACAAAGGAAAACATAGGTTAATGCAGAAATTAGGTATAATTGCCGTTTCTGACTCATCCGCCAATTTACATTTCTTCCAATAGTCAACTACAGACGGCAAAAATACCGGGGAGAGAGAAGACACGTTTCTGAGACAATCCTCTCCGCAGACAAGCAGTCTGCGTCCTGCGGGAGCAGCCCTCCGCACCAGCCGTTTGCCGTCCGACTCCGCAAGGGCTCTGACTTCTCTGGTGCCGCTGTCATAGAAACGCTGAAAATTCATCCCCGTGGTTCTGAAATATCCCTTTTCACAACAGCACTGGCTCCTCCCTCCTCGAGCTTTCCAAACACAGGCACTTTGTGAAGCTGGGTTACTTCAGAGTCACCAGAAGTCATTTTCTGGGATGTTCTCCGTGTTGCTATGACAGCAGCAGAGTACTTGCCACCCGTGCCGATATCAACAGCAAAGCTTTAGTGCAAGGATCTGTTTTCAACAACATGTGTCACCTCCACGCTTGTTAAGTCAGTATTGTTGGGAGAGAGAGCTACATCACAAGTTATGACATAATTTAAGCCCTTTTGGGGCTTAAATATCTGAGATATCTGGATATCTGAGATATCCAGGGACTTCTACAGATAAAAAGTTCCTTTTTGTTTACTGTCTTTTTGCTTTTGAAAAGTTCTGGTGACTAGGATTCTTACTATTTTAGATTGGGTTTTTAATCTTGTAAATATTTAGTGATTTCCCCCCCACCTCAAATGTAGAAGTACACGTCAGACTGTAAAACTGAAGGGGAAGCAAAGATGCAGAAGATAAGGCCTATTTTTCAAACACACGGTATCTGAATTTTTGGGTCTGTCAGTGCTTCTATGCTCAGTCAGAAGCATTTGAGCCTGATTTTTTTTTTTTTCTTTTCTTTTTCCCACTCCCCCTCCCCGAAATGCTGAGCACACATCTCCAAGTGAAACGTACACTTAGCATATCTTAAACTTGGACCCACAAAGCAGCTAGGAGCCGTCAATATCCACTTCTGGTTTGATTTACTTGCAGAAAGACCCCCCAGAAAAGGCAGCAGGAGAATTAGAAGTCTGTCTTGACTCTTGAACTTAAGTTTAGATCATCAGCAAGCATTGCAGAAAGCACGATGCTGTGAGATTCCTGAGCTTCTTGATTAATCGGCGTCAGATGTCCAGGTCTCTGTTCCTGTTCTGTCCATTATTACATAGGAATTAACAAAATAAATGTTTGTGTGATCATTAAATTAGTCATAACCACAAGAATTTATTCAGTCGCCTAATGCAAAAATATAGCAAGCAGAGAAGTGTGTCTCCTCCTGTGGCGTAGTTGTAATGCATCCCTTCATGCTTCAGTGTCTAAAAAGCCTTCGTTCTCTAGTCGCGCCTTAATGTGCTGCCTCATCGCTGTAGCTTCTATGTGATAATTTTGCTCCTGTATTTTTGTAGCTTTTGTCTTTCAGAGAAGCTTGAACGGAAGGCTAATCAGCGTAATTTTTAATTGTTAATTTGGCTCACTCTCTGAAGCTGATTAGATGACCTTGCCAAGGAATCAGTGGGGAATTGTTAGAGCGAAGCGAGCTAGCTCGGTGAACTGCCAGCACTCTGGCGTGGTGCCACCCTTGCTATTTATAGACTTGTAAGAAGAGTCAAGCACTGAAGACAGCTCCTGATTTGAGTACCAGATGACTCGCACACTGACCTGAAGCAGAGTTACTGCCCGGGAGCTGCAGAAGTCTGATGAGCAGAACTCCGTTTTTCAAGTCATTCAGTGCTAGTTTCTTTCTCATCCGCTTATTTAAAGCCACCTGCAATTCCCGCATTTCCCGATCAGTAAGTGCTATAAAGGCTGTGTACTTTACTTCTACAGGTTTGTAAGTACTTCGGTTTCTATCCTCTGCCCAGTGACATGTGAGACTCATTATTGCTGTAGCTGTGTCATTTCTCACTTCTCAGCGTGATTGTTTCTGTAGTGGATCTTGCTTGCAGTTCTGCCCTCAGCCCTGACCTGAGAAGTCTTGCATTGAGTTCTCTTTTATTGGGTTACAGTAAATGCAGAAGGACTGTTATCAGCATTTACATAGTTCAGCTGCAAAGCTAGAGTTTTTAACTAGATGCTTTAAAATTCTTGATGCTCTCTCTTATCTGAAATGCTCGATGATAAATTGGGTGTAACACAATTCAGCTGTCACTGGTATGCTGACAAAGCATGAATCTTCAAGCCTGTGCCAGACCCATCTCTTTCTGTACAAAATAAACCTTGGCTTGTCTTTCTAACAACAGATCAAATCAGGGAGGCTAAACCAGAGCTCCAAATCCTCTCAAACTTCTCCTGCTGCCCATTTTCTGCCTTTTGGTCACTGTGAACAGCATCTTTAGCTGACCAGTCACTTAGGACTGCTAAATAAGCGTTTTCAGCCTGGAGGCTAAGATATATACCCAAGTTTGTTTCTCACACCAGACTTCATATTGTTTAGTGTACATAGGATATATTGTTTTCTATTCTCTTCATACAGCTAGAACCTTTGTCCAGACTATCATTGTCTCACTCCTGATTATTGCCACATCCTTCCCTCTGCCCTTGAGGACAGTAATCTTGCCCTGCCTGTATCTCCGCAGAATGCTGCTGCAAAGGTTGTTTCCCCAGCCACGGCTGTTAATGCTCTCTGTGCCATCCTCCAGTGGCTCTTCTTTCCACACCTCATTGCATCTATGCATAGCTTCATTTTTAAAGCCATTCTTACTCTGTCCCCACTGTCTGTCTTCTCATTTCATTGCTGTGAAATCTGTTTTACCTCTCAGCAGCTCATGATGCCAGCCTTCCTCACTCCTTCAGAATATTTGGTGGGTTTAGTGAATTGTAATTGACTTTTTAGCAAGATTTAAAAAATCAAAATAAAAAGTGACCCTCCTCCAAACAACAATTAGAAATACACAAAGTCCAAAACTTTCCACATAGGACATTATTTTGCGCAATTTTTAAACTTGTATTTAGGTGCAAAATTGAATATTAATGCTTTCCAGGCTTGGAGCTTGGAGAGTAAGTATACGTTAAGATAATTTCAAGCAGCATTGGAATAGTTCTCTCCTGCCTGCTTTAGAGAAAACAGATGTTTGCACATCAGTAGTCTGCACAGAGAAGTTACCAACTGGGTGGTGGGGCTGTTTGTTCACCGAGCTATCAACTCTCAAGTTAAAATCCAAGTAAAATATAAGCTATTCTGTCTGTCTCCAAATCTGCTAGAATAAATACAGATTCTGTGATGAGTTCAGTGCAGTGGGCTCTTGACAGTCAGATTTTAAATGGGTAGATGTACCTTCTTGTAGGATATGTTACTCTGGGAGAAATAGGGCACTTATTGTATGGAAGCAATGGTTATAGATCTATGTAGAAGTCACGGGGGAACAGAGTTGATTGACTTACTGACTCTTGTCTCTTTTGCAGTTGGTGTATCCTTATGACTTTAGACTAACGGAGAAAGAGGTAATAACTATTTTTATTTCCTTTTTTTTCCTGGTTTTAAAGATCCTGAGCAGCGGTGATGGAGGTTTTCTTACTGTGTGTTTTTGTTTGTTGCAGAAAACTAGTATCTGCTACTTGTCCTTCCCAGACTCCTACTCAGGTAGGTAGCATCTGTTGGCCTTGCCTGCAGCCTGTGGGATGGTTCGTTGCTGTAGCATCTGTTGGCCTTGCCTGCAGCCTGCGGGATGGTTCGTTGTGAAAGAAATGGGTTCATGATGGAAAGAGTGAGTCATCGCCTCTAATGCAGCAGAGACTGATGGGCTGTATCTTCCAGAACTGTGACATCAAGGAGCACCCAGCCCTTAGGTCTGAACAAAGAGGCTTCTTGTCATTTTGATTGCTCTCTGGATATAGAATCTGCGATCTGGTGGGTGACAGGACAATTACTTGATAAGCTTGCACACTCATGCTTCACTCGTGCCAATAAAATATAAAAAAAAGTCACAAAGGGTAGGTAGCCTGAGGTTTGCAGCTGTTGACTGTCAGCATTTCTGTGTTTCTGAGTGAAGTGCTCGGTGAAGAGAAGCAGATGGGGAGAGGATGCTTTCACAGCGGAAGTATTCCCAAAGTTTGTATTTATAAATCAGAAAGGTGGCAATAAGAAATAAGCACGTTAATTCGTCCCAGTACCTGTTTCTTTAAGACTGGTTCTTGACTGTTAGTGTTCTACAGCTTTGCCTAGTTTAGTTTTAAATGTTTTTAAGGTTGTACTTTCATTAGTTTCTCAGAGCTTAGTGAACACTCAGGCTAAATGTCCCTTTTATTAAAGTAAATTATTTACTAATGTTAATATCTTCATAACACACACAACAGTCTTTACTCTTCTTCGGAGCATAGCATCTGCAAACAGTGGGAAGGAGTATGTCCTCTTACCCCGCTGTAGTGCCTTAGTCTGTTTAGCCGTGGTTTTTGTTCAGTGAGCTTAGTGTGTTTAACTCTTTCCTCATAGCTGACCTCTTTGTACGTACTCAGCCCTACTCCTTCTGCCCATCCAACTCATGAAACCCCCTGAGGACTTCATGCTTCTTTTTTTCCTGCTGTACAAAGTATGCTGGCGGGGGGGCGAGCAGTGTAGTGTGACCTGGGAGGTGCCCGGCTGTGGTGCTTGTCTAGGTCATTTGCTAGAACTATTGTGCAGGGGATTGTCGTTAAAATCAGTGTTTGTGTCGTCTTGGATTAGGGCTGTTTGTAGGTTTTTTAGTACTGTGGATAAGAAGTGGTGGCTGCAGTTACTCAGGATTGATGATACTGGCCGATGTCTGTAAGTTTTCCAGCAATGGCCTGGCAAGGTTTAGCTTAATGATACCAGTTCTTGTGTTCAGCTATGCGTTCCTCCTGTCCTACACTGGATTTTTGGGGTTTCTTTATGCTGTTACTCTCCACTTCATTTTCAGTTTTGGAGTTTCTTGTAAATCAGCATCCCTGTTTATGTCAGCATTTCAGATTTAAGCAATTTTCAGGTTTCTCTTTACTGAAACTTCTTCCTGAGCATTTGTGATCTTCTCTGTCTCAGGTGGCCTGGGGGATACTCAATTTAGCTTCCGCCTTCGTCAGTCTGGGGGACAGAGGACCACTCATTACGAGGATGATGGCGAGTACAATAGAGAAGCACCCCTAACGCTGCAGGTCAGTTGCATTTCAGTGCACTACTTATACCTGCTAAGCAAACAGTAGTGTTATTGGGTTAAAAGCCAAATATACTTTTGATTTGTTTTCTGTGCATAAAACACTCATTTGCTCTGGCCAGGGGAATAGTCAGAAAAGGAGAAAGCTTTCAGCACAGGGACTTACTTCCACGTTAATACTCATAGAGGGCCGTGTTGAGAATCCCAGCTACTCTGAGAGATGGAACTGAATCAGGGAACCCCAGATTAGAGCAGTGGTCATGTCCAGCTAGAGCGAAAAGATAAATGGTGGCACGCAGGTGACATCCAACAGAGTGCACGGCTACCTGTGCATGTTTCTATGAGGCAAGACAAGAATATCTTTGTGGTAAATTAGATGTTTACCTCTTTCGTTGAGGGATGACAGTTCTTTTTATTTGTTGCAGGATCTATGTGTATAAAACCAGCCGGAATAATTGGCATGCAGCAAATCCACACTTCGGCTTGCGATATGCGGGCTGGTTTAACCGTACCCAAGCACTAATATCAGGAGTGTCTGTTAGTTGTGGTCTTTCCATCAGTAAACTGTCTGTCCATTTCATGCAGAGAAGGGACGTGCTGAGCACTGTTGCTTCTTTTAATTGAGCAGATGGCCATCACATCAACTTCTCCTCTTCTGCTTTCTCCTTTGAGATGATGCTTCCTGTGCATGTGCCTTTTTAACACTTCTGCAATCTTTTTGTGATATGCTTTTGTGATATGCAGTCTAGAAATGGATTGCTGGTCTAAGAGGGAGTAGGAGGATTTCTTTTCCTGAATTCTGGTCTAGAGATTTTTTAGCTTGCATACATCTTTACTGCTTTGTAGCAATCGGACACTGCCTCACAGATTCACCTAGCTTTAAAGAAGTAAGGGAAGTAAAACTGCCAAAGAACTGGAATCTGTTGTGGAAAAACAATATTTGGGAAGAGAAAGGTGCCTTAAACTGTGGAGCCTGTGGGGCTTCAAAAAATGATATTAAGGGTGGTCTTTGTGTTCGGCACTGATAACTATCCTTCCTCCTTGATGTCTGTGGGAACTTAGAAGGCATAGCGCCTTTGAGATGATCGCTGGGGATTTGTATTAAATCTGTTAGTTTTCATGGATGCTACGAAGGAAGCATCATTCAGCTTTGTGCTTCATCCTGAGCAAAGTTTGACCGGTACTGCCTTCAATGCCTGACTAAAGAGGACTGCAACGGGTATGGTAGAGGACATCTCCTCCTCTCAGATGACGATGTATTCCTTCCTCGACAATACGTTATCCTCTAGCTGGCAAAGAAAACTGACAGAGCACATCAGCGGCAGCACGGGGTGCCAGGGTTGGCTCAGCTGGTCGTATTAGTGGAAACCTCAATTAACCCTTTAGATGATGGCCCTGAAGGTGCTGCAGAAAGGGGCTAGTGAACGGTGCTACCTGGGGGCTGTAACGTTTTGTGAGTTTAGTTGTTTGTATCTCCTCTCTATCTTCCCATTTGGTGAACTCTCCCAGATAGCTGAGCCTGGATAACTTTGGTAAATAGGAGGGAGTGCTGTAATTGTATCACAGCAGGAGTGAGGTATGTTGTTTGGTCGGTGGCTGGAGGGAGTTTGGCGATAGCAGTAATCGGTTTCTCAATAACAGCATTGTTGGTCTCTCTTGCAGCGGGAGTCAGCTCATTACTTTGGTTATGTATACTTCAGGCAAGTCAAGGACAGCTCGATGAAGAGAGGTTATTTTCAGAAGGTGAGTACTGAAACCAGATAGCTCGCTACTCAAGTGGTACGTAGCTGTAAAAAGGCACCTATCCATAGCTGTAAAATAGCACCACTTCCTACGTGACACCCACAGTGTTTCTGCAGGAAACAGCAAAGGTCACGGAGAACAGGAATACATGGAAGGTGTAATTCCAAACAAACCTGGATGCGGTTGCCATGGTGTGTTAATCACATGAGCGGTGACCTGCTGTCTGAATCATGAGATCCTGAAGTACTCCAACATTTGCTTCAGTATGTACTCTAGTGTCACAGATAGCGAGAGGATATACTTCGTTATTGCAGTCTGTGCTAGTTATAACTTAACCCTACTCTTATTACTGCTTTAATCGTTCTTCTTCCTAGTAGCCATCTGGGAATGGATTTCCTGATGGGCTGATTGCTTCTAACTAGCAGCAGTGACACTGCTGGTACCTCACCGACCTTGTCTCTTACCATAAATTCCTTTGACACAGACACTGGGAAAAATACTATAAACGGCATGTTTATTTCAGCATAAATATGCAAAGTGCTTTGTATTATTCAGGCAGGTAGTTATGGTCACTGCCTGAAAGAGAGCGAAATTTCAGATGACTTCTAGAGAAGGAAAATATTTTTCTTTGATCCTAAGATCCATTTTTCTCCATGTATCCATGGAATTACTCTTTCAGTAGTGTTTTTTCACATCAAAAGATAAAATGCCATCCTCTCAAACGAATGAACTTTGAACACCTGCTCTCCAAAGAGCAATGCTTCATAATGGATCGGTCTGGTAACTTGCTGGAAGATGGGGACACCATTCTGTCCCAGCAGTTACTTGGCCTGCTGTGCTTTCTCTCCTCCACCTCTAGGCAGTGACATGGAGTTTCTTTCAGAGAGACACGCTAATACAGAAATGAGTTTCTTCATCTCCACTAAAGCAGTGGATTGATCACTCAAAAGTTGGAGGATTAGAGAAACTGGACAACATGGGGACCTGCTGAACAGATATTTATACCAGGCTAATGTGCTTGCTCTGGTAGACTTACAAAAGTAGTGGGCGTATTGAATTCCTCAGGGAAGTATATTGTCACGCTTGGGTGGGGTTTATTTCAAATGGCAAAGTTTTGGGTTGGAAAGGAGGTGTTTAAATGAGTATTGCAGAAATTTTCACTGGATCCTAATTAATGTATTCATTAATGATTAGAGGAAGAGAATAATCAGCATAGTAATGAAAACCCTCAGTGAGACTGGGTTGGAAAAGTTGTAAAAAATAGTGATACGTTTCATAAAGAAGCATTAGAAAGAAGCTGAAACAGCAACAAAAAAAGGCATTGCTGGAAACAAATCGGCATTATTTCAAGTTGCTTTGTTTCTTCTTCCCCAGAATTCCTTTATTTTTATTTATCTACCTAATTTCAGTTTCAGTGGTCTGCTCCTTTGCAGTTCTCCATCTGAAATGGTTGTTTTGGTAGCTTTGAACCTATTGGCAATTTATTTTTGTTTTTCCTCCGGATGATCTTTTGCTAGGTCACAAACTCGGCCCTCTTAGTTGCGGTGCCTCCCTGGTAGAAGCTACCAGCTGTGCTTATTCATTACACAAAAAACTCCTTGCCTGTGTGGATACCCAGGGTCTCCCAAAGCCTGAGGGTTCAACAACTAGGTACCTAGCAAGAATTCCACCAGTAAAAGTGCTGCTTTTGAGCTCTTTCACGTTTTTGATGTTGGTTTTTAAGCGTAGTCCTCTACTAAGCAGTGTAAGTATATGCAGTGCTAGAAATGATCATGTCAGGGGGTCTCTGACTCCTAAATGTATCTTTTTTCAGTCTTTGGTGCTGGTGTCACGCCTTCCATATGTGAACTTGTTCCAGTCATTGCTGCAGCTGATTGCTCCGGAATATTTTGACAAGCTGGAGCCATGCCTGGAGGCAGGTGAGCAGTCAGATGTAGGAGGGAGGGTTTGCGTATTGAAATCTTTCAGCGGTTTTATCAGGAAGTTCCTGAAAGACAGCTGAAATGTTCCAAATTAGTTCATTCTGGAACAAATTCCAACAGGGAAAAACTTTCATCCAAGTGGTTGGCTTGTCAAAATTATAAACAGCTGTAAAGGATGCATTAATGGGAAATGTCTGACAACCTTAATAGATGATGCTGTCAGTTTTGCATACAATGTATTCCCAGAGAGAGGAAAAAACTGCTAATGCTACATCCCTGTCTAGGTCTTTACTGCACTACTCAACTTAATCATGATTTATCAACAGTATAGTGATGCTGGGCCTGCACTGGGAATAGTGGTGCAGACGTAAGTCTGGTGTCTGACCTAAACTTGCACAATTATTTGATACAGTGTGTGTTTGCAGTTAGCCAGGGGGACACGCGAACTAGGAATGAGCGATAATTAAATTGGCAGAACTCATAGGACCAGCTGAATTAGCGGTATTGACCTTCAGGTTAAACTTTTTTCTTTACCTGTGTCCCTGCAGTGTGCAATGAGATTGATCAGTGGCCGCCTCCTGTGCCAGGACAGACCCTGAACCTTCCAGTGATGGGAGTTGTCATTCAGGTACTCGTTGCTGATTTGTACTCAGCAGCAGACTGAGGCAAACAGGGAAGCAGAACATGTATTCCCTTTTCTTCTGGATGTTAAAGTTGCTGCTTACTCTAGATTCTTTCCCTTTATTCCTAACCTCTGTACAATTAGAATTGATAATTGAGGAAGCTTTCTCACGTGGAAGGTTGTTAGGAAAGAAAGCAAAGTGTGTGTGCATGCTAACCAATTCCATCTCCCTGGATAATCTGTCTGTTCTTATTTGTAATCTAGGTGAGAATCCCATCGAGGGTGGATAAGCCAGGATCAAGCCCAGTGAAGCAGTTCAATCAAGAGGTGAGATGAAGTGTGGCGTGACACAAGCCAGTGATGAGCAGAATCTAGACTGCTAAGGAAGGAGGGTGGAGAAGAACTGGAACTCTTTCAGCCTTATCCTGTTTGAATCCACTTTGGCCTGGGATTAATGTGGTTTAAGCTACCCATCTGGTTCAAACCGCACACTCTCATGCCTGTGTCTTTCAAAACAGGAGACTCTGCACAGAATTTGTGTGCTTCAAGTTACGTATGTGCATTGTTCTCACAGTTTTTGTTCACCTTGCCTTTCCTGGGAATTCATGCATAGGTAGGTCTCCATGAGACCCTGCCTTAGTCTTCTGTGTTGTTTTGCAGCATTTGCTGTCTGAGCACCTTTACTGCTTTTATTCAGCTTTGATTTTGATTCTTGTTCTGTCATGATTTAACCCCAGTCGGCAACTAGGCACCACGCAGCTGCTCGCTCACCCTCCCCACCCCTGCACCACGCAGCCGCTCGCTCACCCTCCCCACTCCTCTGGTGGGACGGGGGAGAGAATCAGAAGAGCAAAAGCAAGAAAACTCATGGGTTGAGATAAGAACAGTTTAATACTTGAAAAAAAAATAATAATAATAGTAATTGTAATTGTAATGGAAAGTAAAAAAACAAGGGGGGGGAAGGAGAGGAAAAAAAAAATTGATGCACCTGCTCACCACTCCCCAACCAATGCCCGGTCACTCCCCGAGCAGCGATCCCTGTCCCCCGGCCAACTCCCCCCAGCTTATATGCTGAGCATGATGTCCCATGGTATGGAATATCCCTTTGGCCAGTTTGGGTCAGCTGTCCTGGCTGGGCCCCCTCCCAGCTTCTTGTGCACCTCCTCGCTGGCAGAGCATGGGAAGCTGAAAAGTCCTTGACTTAGTATAAATGCTGCTTAGCAACACCTAAAACATCAGTGTGTTATCAACATTATTCTCACGCTAAATCCAAAACACAGCACTATACCAGCTACGAGGAAGAAAATTAACTCCATCCCAGCCGAAACCAGGACAGTCAATTTGATTTTTTTTCCCTCTTTCTCTCCTTTGAATAATGTCGTATTTCACAACTTTTGCTACCCGTATTTACCAACCCTTATTGTCTCTATCTGTATCTTAAGCTTTGCCTTGCACCAGAGGAAACTCTAGAAAACAAAGGAGCAGACACAGGAAGTCTTTCACATCTTGAAAAGAAGGGATTCTTGGCTATCTTCTAGCAAGGAAATTCATTTGGACCTTGAATGCTCAATCCAGATCTGTTCCTGGCTCATATCTCTAAGTGTTAACTTTGTTCTCTTCTTTTTATGTTTATTGTAGAGGGAGGTACTTTGTGATTGATGTGGTCAGTTTAGATGGCATTTCAGTCAGGATGCTTCCATTTACTAACAGTTTGGGGTTTGTTTGATTTTTATTTTTTTTTTCCCCCCTCATTTAGAATCTGTTACCAGCCCCACTGGTACTCCCCAGTATTCATGAACTGGATCTCTTCAGGTGAGAGCCACCATCCCTGCAACCCTCTCCTTTCCGTCTGCTTTTTCTGCTCATAGTACCCTATAAATCGTAGGTATAGTGAAGATGTCAAATGAGGAATCAAAAATTAAATTACTGCTTTGCAGAGTGTCACTTAGCATACTGGGCTTGCAGAGCTTGTGCAGTGTTTAAACCGTGTGCGCTGCCCTTAACACAACCCCCTGTATCCTGGTTAGAGGGGGGTTTCTTTTCTTGACCTCAGCTGGTGATCAGCTTAAGCTCTGAAGCATACATGTTGTGTGTCTGAACCAAACTTTTCAGCGTTATAGGTGCTATTCTAATAGACGTACATCTGCTGTAATCCACATGCGTTTTACTTTGCTTATGTCGTGGTTTAACCTCAGTCCCAGCCGAAACCAGGACAGCTTAGATGAAAAGGCATACTGAGAGCAATATGATCAGCAGGTTGCTTTACATTGCTGAAAACATTTCCTTTAAACACGTATAAAATGGTTGAGCAACAGCATGTGTAAAGACACATGGCATTCTGTTGTGGGATACTAAAAATCAGTCCTAGATTTCAAATTCCCAGATAGAAGCACATCTGGATGGGCTTATGCGCAATAACCGTCTGGTCTTTTCTGAACTGCATTTCGAACCTCATTCTTCCTTTCGCTAACAGGTGTTTCCAGCCAGTGCTAATTCACATCCAGATGTTATGGGAGCTGATGTTACTGGGAGAGCCAATTGTTGTAATGGCACCATCCCCTACAGTTTCTTCAGAAATGGTTCTGGCACTTACCAGGTAATGCCTTCAAATTCTGAGATACAGGTAACTATAATAATAAATTCTGGCAGTGTTTCTCTTTCAGATCCACTCTTCTGCCAAGTCAATTGGTTTAGGTTTAGTTTGCCTATGAAAGCATGTAAGACAAATAGCATAGCAAAAGAGTCTTACTCATATTCCACCAATGGCAGAGAAGAGTGAAAGTGAATCTCCCGTGTTGGGAGACCTGATGGTTCATAGCCCCGAGGAACTTTGTCTCCCCAGCTTTGAACTCTGCTTTAGCAAAAAAAAAAGCCTGGAACTCCTCCAGAGTGTTACCTCTGGCAGGACAAAACACTGCTCTAGCACATAAACCTGGTGTAAACACACATTCCTCCTCTGTGAGGTTTATATGGCAACTATTCTGTTTATTGTTACAGCTGCCTTGCTCCTCTGAGGTACTGTTGTGACTACCGCCCCTATTTTACTATCCACGACAGTGAATTTAAAGAGTATACCACCAGGACACAAGCTCCGTAAGTAGCCAGTAGACCCTTGCTACCCACTTCCCACTGTGTGAAGGAAACCCTGAGATTAGCATTGTTCTGCTTTTTTTCCCCTCTTTCTAGGCCAAACATTGTTGTGGGAGTCACAAACCCTTTCTTTATCAAAACTCTCCAGCACTGGCCACACATTCTTCGGGTTGGGGAGCTCAGAATGTCAGGTAAGGGTGGAAGCAAAGTCCTGTTGTGCTGATAGACCTTGTTAGAGGCTAGTAGTGAGCTGACAGTTGCAGTGCTAGCCATCATTTTACACATCTTCATTCCTGTGAGAGCTGAGGAACCAAAGGGAAGTCTAGACTCTGACTCAGTTGATGTGCAGGATGAGCGCACGCAATGGTGAAGACAAATCGTTGAGAGGATAACTTGCTATGTTTTTTTCCTGAAACATTAAGAAAAGGAGAAGTCCTGTTGAGAGGATAACTTGCTATGTTTTTTTTCTGAAACATTAAGAAAAGGAGAAGTCCTGGGCAGGAGAGAGAAAATTGCATAAAGAAGAACAGAGAGGTGGAGAGAGAGACCCTGATTATTATCTATGAAACCAAGAAAACCTCTAGTTTGAGGAGTGGGGTTTTTTGCAGTGCCTCCTTAACACGTTCCTGTTCCAAAATTTTAGCAGGAAAGCTAGCAGACGAGAAGGCTTATGTGAGGGTGGAGTTAAGGGAGGATGTGATTTAAGGTGTACAAGTGTAGGACTGGACGTTCTCGAGTGCGAAGTCTCTCTGCGTGCTGTGGCTGTGAGGGTAGATTCAGAGCCTGAACTAGTCATTTGACGTCTTTCCGCAGGAGACCTGCCCAAGCAAGTTAAGGTGAAGAAGCTAGCTAAACTAAAAACTCTAGACACGAAACCAGGTAAGTCCTTTTGTCAGACATCATTTAATTCTATTTACCCTTCCATGTGGGGAATTTTGCAGGATTTGCAGGCATGTGAACATTGCATACATTATTCTTTGTATCTCAACAAACGGACATTTTGGTGTTATCATCTTCTCATACTCGATGTGCTACACAGTTCTCTGTAGTGGCATCCCCCATCTAATACAGAAAAACTGTACATCTTTGTTCCGAGATTGAAAAAGCCAGTTGAACAAATTATTTTAGTGTCGGGAGAACTTCTGATTTTCTTGATTTTATTTTATATATCATATCTGCTTTTTAGATGCGATGGAAGTCAAAGGAACTTGCTCACCTAGATACAGCCATCTGTCACTTAACTAACTGTTCAGCTCAGGCCTAGCCATAAGCTGACTCCAGTAAGTTATCTCACCATAAGCTTAGCATAAGAAGGTCCTTGAGGTAGTTCAGTGTCCTTTAATCCTGCTGTGAGCACTGGCTGCATTAGCAATTTCGTAGTTTTTTAAATTATTTTTTAATAATTTTTGTAATTATACACACACAGCTGCCAGGGTTTGTGCTAGGAATTTCAGTTCTGTTATCCCTGCGCTATATAATAATATATAATCTAGAGCCTCCTCTAGATACGTGGACAAAGTTTTGTTTTTAACTTCTGTTTTTTTCTGGTTGGGGTTTTTTTTTTTTTTTTCAATCCAGGAATCTATACTTCTTATAAAACATTTCTTCACAAAGACAAAACCCTGATAAAAAGATTACTAAAGGTAAGCGGTTTCCACTCTGTCCTACATCCTGTATGTCATTATGGGAAAACCGTGCTAACAGCTTGGTTTAAACAAACAAAACTCTCCAAAAGGAACGGACTTCTTACAGCGTGTAATGATTTAGTCAAGTATGCTTGGACATGTTTATCATGCCAGTATTAAAATTTTTCGCTTAATATTATGGATTAAATGCTGGCACTAATGATAACCTACGTGAGAACAATTGTTATCAAAAAAAGAGTCTGAAAAAACAGATTCTCTGTAGAGAAATGTGAGCGATGGGTTTAACTAGAGAGTGGAGTATGTGTTTTGGGCGGTACAGTTTTACAGACTACTCTGGACTGGTTGCTTATAGCTACGGTGTTTGCAAATTCTGCGTCTGTCTGCGTCATAGAGAATAGCACCTTTGTGAGTGCGCTGCTTGTGCTTGCAGGGGATTCAGCGGAAACGCCCATCTGAAGTCCAAAGTGCCCTTCTGAGGCGTCACCTCCTGGAGCTCACCCAGAGCTTCATTATTCCCCTGGTGAGTTGAGCAGAGACTTGTCAGAGTGGTGTAAAGGTGAGGGGAGGTGAACAGGAGGTGCTCGAGTGACAAGTTTGCACTTGCCCTCTTTTATTCACCCGTAGCTGAGCATCTGTAATAGATTCAGGATGCGGCACTCTGTAGAGATGTTTTACTCCATGGAAAGGAACTAAATGTCTCTTGAACGCAAATTTTAGTAATTAGCATAAAAGTCTGCAGGTTGGATATTCAGCACACTGTGTGTAAAGACAGAACATTGTTTCCTGCAATGTAGGAATAGGTGTTCCATGTTATTTGATTCTAATGCCAAGTCTTTGCTCTTTTCAACAGGTAGTCAAAGCAGATATATAGGGAAGGGACGGGAGCCCAGAACATTCCTCTTCCCCTCTAACGCTGGAATCAAACCCATTGCCAGTGTGAAACCCTCCCTTCTGGCTTTGGGAGGCTTTGCTGTAGAGCTTAAGAGGCCTGTCCACGTGGTGATCACCACCCTACGGCAGATTTTAGTGAACGCTTTCTTTCAAGGCCTTCCCTGTCTAGTCCCACTAGAATACTGCTGGTGCTTTTTTGGTGACCGTCCAGTTGGCCAAGTTTGGCTCCTCCACTTTGTTTTCTACATCATCTTAGGAGGTAGTACACGGGAGGACAGAGCATCTTCTCAGATTCTAGTCCCTCCTGCCAACTTCTTCCCACCTGACCTTTTCTCACATGGCAGGCTTAGGATTCTTGCAGCATAGTTTTGTGACCTAGCCCCTGGTGGGAAACAAGCTGGAACACTTAGGCTCATGTAAAATGCAACTATGAAGAAAAAAACCAGAGAGAGTAGGAGGCTGTTGATTGGGCCTATGATGCGTTGGAGAAGACCATCCCACTCAGTGACCACGCAAGAGGCGCCTCGATTGTTGTAACTTTTCAAAATTTTTTTTTAAATTTCTTCTTAGGAGCATTATATTGCCAGTCTGATGCCGCTGCAGAGGGCCATTACTCCGTGGAAGGTATGTCCAATTTTCCCATCGCTTCTGCTTTCCTTTGACTGCGGGGATTGGGAATTGTTATGCCGTATGCTGATCGTATACACATATACTGATGATACACTGTGTGAGCTTCCCTCATTGAAGGAAGAGGGTTAATACTCCTTTAAAAAAAAAAAAAAGTTGAAACAAACATTGGGACAGATGCTTCCTGTTTTGCAGTAAGCTCAGCTATTGTGAATCTAATTTGAATTTTACTAGCAAGGCTGGTTAAGAAGTTCATGCATTTTTTTGTTCTCATAGTTACTGAGTCTGCCTGGTGCAGCCTCTTCCATTGCAAATATAGACCTCATTTTGCCCCCGTTTCTTTTGGGTGCCGTGTCATACGGCCTTTCTGTTGTGCAGAATCCTCCACAGATTCGTCCTTTCCGTCAGGAAGATTTCATGAAGACCCTTGAGCATGCTGGTCCCCAACTTACCTGTGTACTTAAGGGTGACTGGTTAGGACTCTACAGGTAAGATTTTGGTAGTTACTTGCCTTATCCCCTTAAGAGCTGGTGCAAGATATAATGAACATCAAATCCTGAATTAGAATTGGGAGCAAAAAGGGAGTTTCGGGACAGAGACCGGTCACCTGAAAAACTCATGCCTATGAAGAATTGATTAACTAATAATGGTCAGGAAGAGCAAGTGCAGGGCAGACTCAATCCTGTGTTTTATGTGGTCTTTTAAATGAGTAGATACAGTCGGGTTTAGAAGCTGTTGACTCTCCACCTTTGGGAATTTAAACTAAGTCCTCACTGCTGGAGAAGAAGGGGACTCATCTCTGACATCAGCTATGTCGTTTATTGTCCTCCAGGGAATCTTTCTTTTTGAAGCGTCTGGTCCTGGGCAGATGGGGTATATAGACTTGTAGGTCTTCATCCAGTAGTGGTTTTATGTGTTTGTACAGCATTCAGGACAACGGCCATTTCGTTTTTACTGCGTGATGGCAATGCCGTTAGAACATAGAAGGACGTAGTTTCTTCAGGGTAGAATTTAAGAGAGCATGCAGGAGAGTTTGTCTGTAGTTTTCGTAAAGGATAATTAGTTATAAATGGGATGGATAAGACACTTAATCACAATGTGAGTCGGAAAAATCCAGCAATCAGATACCCAGTGGGAAGGAAAATGGGAGATGTACGGATATGGAGAAGGGAAAATATTCCAGAAAGTGAGCAGAGACAATAATCATGGATTAGTATGTTTTGTTGCTGTGATAAAGTTTGTACCATTTTGTGCTTTAATGTATTCAGCAGAAAACAAGCAATTCCACTCCTTATGGCGTAGGTGTGGCAGACAGTAAGATTTAATTTTGGATATCTAATATTTTGAAAAATAGTAACAAACAACAAGCTGTTTCAATAAATTGGTTGAGGTTTGCAGGCATATTCCAGGGTTCTTAACTGTGTGAGATCTTGTGCATACACTATTTCTTGTGTTCCTAAGTCAAACCCTTAATTAAAAAATAAGTCTGTCTGTATCACAGTGGCATCTTGAGATCTTGGCTGAGTTTAGGACTCCGCTGTGCTGGGGAGAGCGCACGAGAGCAAGACTCCTTGAAGTTGCAAAAAGAAACTGTACAAACACCAGCTGAGTTCTGCTGGCGAAGTGCTCTCTGCAGGTAGCCTGAGGAAGTAGCTTGAAGAGATACTAAGTGGGCCACTCTCAATAGAGGAAAATGCTGAAATACAGCATCTGAGATATCCCCGCTGTTAATCAAAGGGTTGCAAAGAATGTGCTGCTAAAGTGGCTGTCACTCAGCTCTAGATGGCATCTTAAACTTTCTCATCTTTTTCTTTCTCTGCTGCCACAACCCTTGTCTTTCAGTTAGTGGCTTTTCAATCCCATTTTGAATTTGATCTAAAGTTCTATCACACTCCGAGATAAAAACAGGTATTGTGCTGCCCTCTGTTCATTTTCCTGCGTAGCTCAGTAAAAACAGAGGTTTATTACTGTACTGCACTGGAGAGGTGTAAATTACACATCCTTTGACATAGCCTAGATGATACCTTGTTTGTGTAGGAGAGATGTAAATCACCAATTATATGGGACTTAGGTCCATGTTAGCAAATGGTTGGCAGCTTTAAATATCAGGAAAGGAGAGGAATTAAGCAAGATACTGCAGAGGAATTTCTTCCCATGTTGAACCATCCCAGTTATCATAACTCCAAAGGAAAAGTGGGCTGCAGAAGGGCAAAGAGCACCGCTTCTTGCATTGGCTGAGGCTTGAGCTGGTGCAAAGGAAGGTGCGAGACCGGCAGGATTGCCCCTCTCGTTGGTGACAATCTGCTAAAGCTGCTCAGCTGTATCATGTTAATGCCTGACAGAAGAGAAACCTCTGGAGTAGATGAGGTATGAAAAGAGCATATCAGCTCATAATCGGTTACCATCACTATGACACTGTGAATCAGAATGTCATTTCTTCTCACATCTGTGTCTGCTGCAGTAGGAAGGGAAATCTGTGTGCAACGGAGCCAGCGTGCTTCTCTGGGTCCCCCTCTGTCCCCTTCTCAGTGTCTCCTCTCTTTCTGCAGGCGTTTCTTCAAGTCTCCCAACTTTGATGGCTGGTACCGTCAGAGGCACAAGGAAATGACCCAGAAGCTGGAGGCCCTTCATTTGGAGGCAATCTGTGAAGCGGTATGTTCCAGCTGCAGGTATTAAAACCAACACCAGACTTCTCAGGCCTGAAACCTGGGAGGTGAGGGCAGTGCTACCTTGGACACTTGTTGACACATCTTGATTCTGCACTGATGGATGGGGGACAGTGCTCTGTGCCCTTGGGAATCACAGCTCTGCCTCATGTCTGCCAGTGCACAGGAATAGCAGCACATGTGGGGGACAAGAACACGAGCAGCTCAGCCCCCCTACTTTGTTAGCCAGTGCAGGTCCTGCTCTGGCTGCTTCTGTCAACTATTTTTCATTCATCAGGCCCTTCCCAAGCCAACAGAGTGCCAGACTGGAAGCGTCATCTGTTGCTGGCTTCCTCAATGCCTAATGAAAATAGGTAGGATTTTTAGCAGTGACTGCTGGTACGATTTCTTAAACTGAGCAGCTGCTGGGGTAGTCCCAGGAGCTCTGGCATCCTACCCAGGTGCATCTTCAGCTGCAGCGCTTGCTTCACTGTTCAGCAGTGCGGGCCCTCGAGCATGGTGTGGGGAATGCCAAAGCTGTCTCCTTCTTTAACAGGCCTGACTCTGGCAAATAGATTTAAATTCTGAGCACAGCACAAGATTCACGGTGCTGACTGGAGGAGGGGAGCCCTGCACTGCCTTCGTATTACTGCATCTCTCCTTGATTCTTCTCTTGCAGGCAAGAGCTTGATGCTGTCATGGTCAGAAAAGTGGGGAGAGCTCTGTCTTGCTCATTTAGGTTTAATTGCTGCGAGCAGAGTTGTGAAAGAGGATGAGAAACCTCCTCGCTTTTATTTCAGGCTTTGCTTAGGGGTATCTCTTTTAGAAAAGCTTCTGTAAAGAAGAAGTGTCCCTGAAGAAAGCTGTTCTCTCTCTTTAGAACATTGTGGCCTGGATGAAGGACAAGTCTGAGGTGGAGATTGTAGACCTGGTGCTAAAACTTCGTGAGAAGCTGGTAAGTTTTCCTCCCTTCTTCCTGCACTCATTCCTTTCTGTCTTGTTGCTTAGAAAACTTTGTTCTCACTCCCTGATTTGGAGAACTGGCAAATGGGACAGTTGCGAAGCTTTAGTGTTTGTGTAGAAAAGGGTTCAAAGTTCTGACTCGTTTCATCTCCCTGAGGCTCGGGTGACAGTTTCCTGTCTGTCGTCTCGCACCCCGAACTAAAGAGACAACGTGAAGTTTGCTCAGTCAATGGCAAAGCGGAAAGAGGAACTTTGAAGCTATTATAAAACTCCTCTGTTTCTCTCCTCTCTCTCCCTGTAGGTAAGAGCCAGGTGCCAGCACCTCCCTGTGAAGGAGGAAACTCTGCAGCGGGTGGGCCTGTATATTGAGACCATCATTGGCTCCTTGCCGGAGGATCTCCAGACTGTGCTGCACCACCACTGAGCACGGTGAAGGGACTCTGTTGGAGAAGGAAGGGCCCTCCCACCCTGCTCCGAGCTGTGGGCAGCTGCAGTTGCATTTGGAAAGGAAAGTTCTTCCCCCATCCAGCCAACGTGACCCGATGTGGACCGTGCTCACAACTGTGTATGATTTTGAGCACGTGAGCATGTGGGTCAGAACTGTAGCAGAAATGGGGAACCGTGTGCACTATTCTCTGTCTAGTCCTGCTTTGAGGAGCTGGATTAGGGGATTGTAAATGAGAAACTGTTCCCTGTGTGGCTGTTAGTAGGTCAGAAAGTGGCAGCCAGGCTTCCAGCAGCATGTGATAGGCTGTGCAAAACATGTGTTGCCCATATATACACATCCATCTTTGTCTAGTGCTTGGGCTCTCAAAATTTCAATGCCGCCATCCTGCCTGGAAGAAGCAGGACCAGCCCTGTAGGGGGGAGTTGTTTTCAGGAGAGCTCCTGATGATAATGAGAGAGATGCTAGTCCCCCACGTACAAATGATGTGAAAAAATTGTCACTGCCCATTCAGCAGCCTGGCTCATGCCAGCAAGAGCTTCAGCTGTGATGGGAGTGGGAGGATGAATTGCTGGACGTGGAATGCTGCTGTTTTTTCCCCAAGGCAGAGACAGAGTAGAAGGGGCTGGTGCATCTGCAAGGAACAGAGCTCTCCAGAGATCACGGCTGGGTGATGTGTGAATGGGAATAGTTACTGGAGCTCCACAGAGAGGAGCTGGCCTCCAAGTGTAATTTATTCTGCTTGAAAAATCAAGTTTGTGTGCTCTAATAATGTACAAGACAGCTGGAGCTCTGCCTTGGGCAATGAGACATCTAATGTGGTAGCTCACTTGCCGATAAAACATGTTGGAGAATCTGATTTTTACAGCCTGTGTCAGCCTTGCCAAGTGGGAGCTCACGGAGTGGCCCTTGCGTGGGTGCGAGGGCCCCGCTGTGAGAGGTGCGTGCTCGCCCTGTGCTGGGGTCAGTGGGGAGCAACCTCTCCAGCTCTCACCACAACTTGTTCTTACCACAACCCAGTTTCCAGCTCGGTCATTCTGCTCCCGTTCACCTCTTGGGAAAGAGAGACATGTGTGTGTGCTTCTAGGATGAATGTAGGAAAGACTTGAGGCTCTGCTACCGGCTTTGGAGGCAGTTGCCCTCTGAGAGAGCAGTCTTTCTGCCCGCTGCCTTGCAAATGGATTTACTGTAACCCCAGGGTTGATTGCTGCTGCTGTCACTGCATTTCACCATCTGCCAGGCTGGCCAGGGCCTGAATGTTTGCCCTAAGAATGGTTTTCGGATGGGTCTGGCAGCCTGGTGCACTCCTGTTCTGTAAGAAGCCCCGGAGCGTACCTTCGCACGTGGCAGGAGAGTTCGGCATTTCAGCCGAGACCTGCACAAAGCTGTCGGCAGTGCCCAGAGCTCATGGGGTGGAAGCTGTGCTGTTTCACCAGCAGTCTCTGCCCGTTGCTGCACTGCCTCGGGGCTGGGTCAGTGAGTCTCAGAGGTGGCTGAACCCTTCCTGCGTTTTCCCCTCCAGAGCCAGGCACGGACAGTGCAGGAACAGCGGGAGGCTGCTCGGTTTCCCACCGCCTCCAGCCTGGAAGCGGCCAAGCGAGGAGACACGGCCATACCTCCCCGTAGCAACGAATTCTGTACAATACTCCTTAGTGGCAGCCCTGCCTGTACAGTGTATATTCTGTATATAGAGTTCGTGTGTGCGTCCGTGCAATAGCTCTGCAGTGACTGTGGTGGACCGAAGCACTAATGTATAGTAGAAAATACTAGTTTAAAAAAAAAAAAATAAGCCAAGCTTGTCTCCTGTTTTTGGGTCTCATTAGATTTATTTGTTTAGGAATGGGGTTTCTCTGCCGAGGTGCTGTTGAGCTTGGCCGCTCATGGCCCTCAGCGTGGTGTTTTCTCGGTCTCCATCAGACGTCTGTCCGGGGCTCTCGGTCAGCACGGAGGTTCCCGTCCCCTTTTGGCAGACTTCTCCACAGGGTTCGCTAAGCCCAGCCCTGCAAAGGGCAGCTCGCACCCGCCTGCTGCTGTGCGTCCCTCTGCCCTACCCACGGCACGTCCGATGCGCCTGCAAAGCAGAGGCTGCGTGGGGCGGGGGGTCCTGCGGTCGGAAGCCTTGGGACCAGCTGCCCGCCTCAGCCGCTTGGGCAGACAAACCCCCTTGCCGCGGATCTCGGGGTTCAGGTTCACTTCAGGCTGCCGTCTTTTCCCCCTCTTTGTACCCAGTTGTGTCCTTTTGGCTCTTGTGTGCTGGTGGCCGCTGTTGTGTACGCTGTTTTCTCTCCCCCCCCAGCCCTGTCACCACTCCTTCCAGGATGGGTTTGTCCTCGGCTGGTTTTGGTACTCCAGAGACGCTGGCACTCCTGGATCCCGCTCTCTACCTCTTTCTACTTGGTTATTGGTTTTTGGTTTTTTGTCATCCTGGCCAGCTGCTCTTCCTTTTAACACCCTCTGTAGGTCCTGGTTTGTCGCCTTCCCTCTCACCGGGTTGGAATCATTGTGGCCCTGCCGCTGCGTGCCCCGATGGTGCCCAACCTGCAGCGCTGGCCGTGGGCCTGCCCCACGCTTGTCCAACAGTATTTTCACAGAAACGTGGCACTACTGGAGAGATGGGGAGGGTCACCCTTCTTTTCATAGTCTTGTGGTTTGTCTCTCTTCTGCTCCCCCAACCTCCTTACTCTTTTCCAGTCCTTCCTTTCCTCTGGGAATCTCCTGGAGTGGAGTCAGAGGTCGACCCAACTTGTCCTCCCCATCGCTGTGCACCTCCGCCTCTCTGCTCCCCCACCCGTTTGCTCCCATTTCTACTTGCAGAGCCCTTGCCACCCCTGTAGCCCTAGGGGTGGTTTGTTCCTATTGAACAAACAAATAGCAGAGCCCTTGCCACCCCTGTAGCCCTAGCAGCGGGTTTGTTCCTATTTCTCCTAGCAAGCCTCAACCTAATTATTTTCTCTCCCAACCACCGTGTGGGAGAGGGTCATACCACAAACACTTCTGGCGCTCACCTGGTACCCACAGGAGGAAGCCGTGGGTGCTCGCGGCCTCACGACCTGTGTTACGCCAAAGCAAACAGCGGGTTGTACTGTCCAGCAGTGATTCATCCCTCACGTCCTGCATGGGTGCGCTGTCCCGCCCTGACGCCAAACAAAACGTTCGTCTTCTTTGCTGCGTCTTCTTCTGTACCAATACAGGTTCTACGGCCCCGGGGGCCAGAGGGTGTGCCCGGAGCTGGGTCGGTGCATGAGCACGCACCTTTATCTCATGCAGTGCTCAGCAGCCCCTGGCTCATCTTCCCGTCCTCTTGTAGCTGTCCCTCAACAGCCCAAACGTCCTCCTTCAGGTATTACTCCTCTTGACTATGTATTTTCAGCTTTGCATTCCTCCCGAGGAGGTCAGATCCTATTTCCTGCAAATCACACCCATTATTATCCTTTTCACTTTCCTACCTAGGCTTCTACGCACCATTCATTTTCTCTCTACCCCCCCTCATCTTCTAACAGGCTTTTCCGCTCTGCCCTGTTTGTAAGTCCTGGTTCACGTGCCTGTATTAAGAGCCTGGGAACTTGTCCCTGTCCTCCCCCAGCAACGTCTGCATTGTGCTGCTGGTAATAACCAACTTTTGAATGACTCTCCAGTCCTCACCCCGCTCCTCACCTCCATTTCTGGTGGCGCGGGAGTCCCAGCGATCACCAAACAGCACGCTGCTGGGTGGCAGATGGGACACTTCCAGAGCCACTGCCAAGTCAGCGCCGCGCCACTCCGTGCTCCCACCTCCCCTGTGCGGTAGCTCTCCCGTGGTCCCCGCCATCACCCCACCGCAGCCCTCGTGGGCTGTCACACCTCTCTGCTCATTGGTACTTGAGCCCATCTCAGCACCATCTCCAGCCTCAGCAGCTTTCGATGGCACTCCTGGCTCTTGCCCTGAGCTATTTTCCCTGGGCTGGAGGTCTCCAAATGCTCTTTAGGTGTCCCTTTGTGCTGGCTGATGGCACGATGGGGGTGAGCGTGGCCCTGCAAACACCCCCGGAGGGTTTATCTTTGCACGGGTGATGGTGCTTGAGCACTCAGCCCCAGAAGTAGACGAGACATGAGCAAGCATTTGGGCTGATTTTAACTTCATGGTGGAGAAGCTGGGGCCTGGCAGGAGGCTGTAGGGGCAGAATCATCCCCAGCCATGGCTCCTTCATCTCCGTTGACATGGCCTTGGCCAGGAACCTTCCCCCGAGGCAGGAAGGAGGCATGAGCCGCCTGGCTCGCCGCCTGTTCCTGTTACTTATCTAACAGCAGAAAAGCCCAGGAGCACCTCAAGCATAACACCTTTATTTGTTAGCACCTTCTCCCGAGCCCTGTGGAGGAATTTGGATTGCTCTCTGTCAGAAAGCGTAACACTGAAACAAGACCAAACAGAATAGAAAGAACCGCCACCTTCCCTGGGATAGTTGCAGTTGATGTTCAGTTGCTGGAACCTCTAGGGATTGCCAAATTGTCTGTGTGCCACCAGCCTCCTCCCACGGCACCTAAATGCTCGTGAGCCTGTAAAGCCCTGCTGCTGCCAACAGCCGAGTCGTTCATGGTGCAGAACAGGGGCATCCTTCTTCCAGAGAGCTCCTGTCCCATCTCCCGTGGTCCATCTCCTGTGCAGCGACTGCTCGTGGTTTTGCTGTCTGCATGGTGCAGGCGGTGGGAAGTCGGGCTCCCTCCAGCAGCGAGGGGCTACAGGTGGGCTTCCCACCGGGGCAGAGCCACTGCAGCCCCCCACCGCTGTCAGAAACCTGCCCAGCACTGCCTGCGCCTTGCTCGAACCTTTCCAGGCACGAAGGGCCGAGTCCAGAGAGATCCTGCCTGGCTACGGACGGGCTGTGGGGAACTGCCGGGGATGTGCAACTCCTGCCGAGGCTTTGGGCAGCCTGGAGGCACCGGGATGAGGTGGCAGCCTAGGGAACAGCCCCCAGGGAGTCGTCGTAGAAAGTCTTGAGGCCCCAGCGGTGCTGCAGGGAGGATCTCTTGCCCACTGCCTCCTGACGGAAGTTTTGCCTCAGCCAGCCGTAGACCAAACTGTGCAGAAAGCCCTGGAGGGAGACGGTCAGGGCCTGCAAGAGAGAGGGCAGCAGCGAGCGCTGCCTTTACCTGCCCCTGGGCTGCCCTGCGCTGCAGGAGTGCTGCAAACCCCATCGCCCTCTCCACGCCGGAGAGGAGCCGCGTGGGATCAGCCCACATGAGTGCACAGGCAGGGTGACAGAGGGACACAGGAGGTGGCTTTCCTCTTGGTGTGGTCAACTAAAACAAGGCAAACAGCTGGGCAGAGCTAAGGAGTGAAACACCAACCACCAAACCAGGGGGAAGAGCCCCGGCAGAGCCGAACCACCAAACCAGGGGGAAGAGCCCCGGCTCTGGTCCCCCGGCTGGGACCAGGGCTGCCACCAGCAAGCCGGGGCCTTTGTCCTGCATCCGCCCCGGGTGGCACCTCTTGGGTGTCACCAGCGCGGGCTGGCAGCACCCGCAGAGCTCACCCTGCCTGGGAGGCATTGCTCCGGTCAGTGGGGACCGGTGTGCTCCCGCTCCCCTCGCCCGCTGCGGCACAGGGGCAGCACAGCTCTCACAGCCCCACCGTCCCAGGGGGGCCCCCCCCCACCCCATCACCACTCACACATCTGACGGGGACAAATGTCCCAGCTCTGGAGCCCAGGAAACGGGTTTTTACTTACTGTAGCAACATAGAGGACAAAGACCGAGGCAGGTTTGATGCTGGTGAAGGAGAGGAGGGTGAGGAGGAAGGCTGTGGATGGAAGACAAAAAGACACTCCTTTGTCTCCCTTTCTCTGATAATGCTTCATCTGGAGTTTCCCTCTCCAAGTGGCAAAGGCCCTTCCCCTGTCACAGCCTATTTCCCATGGCACAGGGGTCTACATAGGACAAGCACATATGTGTACGAGGTCCTTCCCAACGCGCTGCCCAAGGACCTTGGGGACCTCATTGCCACAGGTTTCTGTAAGGCTGAAAGCATAAATGGGCCCCCAAAGGGATGAGATATTGCTAAAAAGCAGGCCCATCAAACACAATCCACCCTCCAGCTCAGGAAATACCACTGGAAAAACCTGCCATTGTAAGAGCAGGGTGGGCTAAACCAGCCACTGGTTGGACTCAACAGCAGTGATCGGGGCTGGCTGTCCTCTCATTCTGGGTCTGCCCAGCCATGGGGTCCTACAGACACCCGGAGGCTTTGCAGTTATTCAGTCTAAGCCTCTTGGACCTGGGTGCTGTCTCAGCCCAGGAATAAAGGGGCTGGAGCAGGAGTTGTGGTGGCTTTTGCCTGCCAGGGCTGCGGGGCATCCCCACTCTGACTTGCCTGGCGCCCAGCAGAGCAGGAAAACCAGCTGGAAGTAGTGAGAGACTTTGCTGACGCTGCGGATGCTCCTGCCCGCAAAGCCGTCCTTCTCCAGGGTCAGCAAGGGCGCCGCGGCATTCCTCTGGCACCAGAGCTTCACCCTGCGATACAGGAGCTGGGCGGCGGGGAGCGGCATCAGCCGGGGCGCGCTGGCTGCTGCAGCCGGACCCTGTGCTCGCCCCGCTGCACTGTGCTGTGCCGCTGGCTTACCGTGCAGCAGCTGAGCACCAGCAGCAGGTACAAGAAGAAGATGATTTTCCCCTCCAGGCCCACGTCCTTCCTACCTATGTACTGAGAGGCAATGGGAAATCAGCAGGGCCACGGGCCAGCCCTGCCTCGAACGGCTCCTTCCACAGGGGCAGGGCTGAGCCGTGCCACAAGCCTCACGGCATGGGAGCAGCCAGCGTCAGGGCACTGCCGGAGCTGGGCGCTGCCCCTCTGCCTCTGCTTGAGCAGGGACACCCCTGCCCTGTCCCTCTGGCAGCACCTGCCCTTGCACCGCGGACCTGCTGCCTTCCCAGTGTCCTTCTGAGCCCACGCGCCCTTGGCAGCGTTGCGCAGCAGTGTCTGCTAGATGGGGAAAGGGAACGGTGGAACGGACAGGCACCCAGCAGTGCTCACCTTGTAGCAGTTATCCTGGGCATGGTGGATGAGGAGCAGGCAGCTGAAAGGACAGAGGATGCTGGTGGTGGTCCCAGCATCGTCCCTGGGGCATTTTTTGATTTCTTCCCCCACCCCAAAGCCTTCACCACATAGAGGTATCCCTTGCAGAGGCTGCGGCGTGCCCAAGCTCAATGGGAAGGGAGAGGGGTGCCCACCCCCGGCTCGCTCCTGGGGTCAGGGTGGCAGGACGGTGGTGTACCTGGAGCAGTAAAGGCTGTAGGTCTCATGGGAGCGGTTTCCTTTCCACGGCACCACGGGCTCGATGGGTCTTGGCGCAATGTTGGTGAGGGAGGTGCCACGGGCGATCAGCTGTCCCAGGAGTGTGAGCGCTGGCACCAGCCTTGCAGGGAGAGGTGGAGGTGAGCGTCTCTGTCCAGTCCTGGGCAGAGCCAGGAGGGCAGGCGCTGTGCCGCAGCCCTGCTCGGGGTGGAGAGGGGGCCGGGGCTGGTGGCTGGCACCTACCAGGCCAGGATGTAGGGCAGCCCCTGCCATGCGTTCTCCAAGCACCCGCTCTTCTCCTGCAGGGAGGAAACTGCCGGTCACCCGGGGCTGCAGGTCTTGCAGCAGCTTGAGGCTCCAGCCCCGCTCTGCCAGGACAGAGGGTGCAGGGGAAGCCACTAACGCCCAGGGAAAAGGGCTGCCCTCGGACCCCCCCCCTCCCCCCCCCCGCCTCCCATATTGGGAAGGGCGATGCCCAGCTGCACCACGGCTGGGGGTCACCAACCTGCAGAGCTGCCACGTGCCAGGCTCTCCAGCCACGGATGGTGCGGTAGGCTTCGTATGCGTAGACAACAACCATCAGGAATGAGACTGAGTAGAAGGTCTGGGAGAGGACGGGGAGAGCAGGCTTCTGCTGTGCCCAGCGTCCTGAAGGCACCTTCCCGCTTCCCTCCTCGTGCTCTGCACCCCGACGTCCTGCTCTCCCCCCCAGGAGCAGCTGCACAACAAAGGAGCAGCTCTCCAAGACACGCAGCACCAAGAGCAAATGGCCTCGCGCTGTCCCTGCGCCCACCCCGGGGAGGGGGACCGGGTGGCCTCTCTGGCCGGCGGCTTTATCAGGGCAGGCAGCTGCAGGCAGTACTGACCACCCAGGTCCATCTGTCCTTGCTGGGCTCTAGGTGGCATGAACAGGGCTCTGCCCCTGTGTCCTGTCAGCAGGCCTGCAACCGCGGCGATGGTCGCCCTGTGCACTATGCAGCCGCGAAGGCTGATATGTGCGAAGTGGAGCAGAGCTGGCCCCGCGGCACTGAGCCCCTCCTGGTCCCTGTCTCCGTGTGTGGCTGAGGCAAAGGCTCCATCACCAGTGGGATGAGCCTGGGGGCAGGAGGGAAGTGGCACTGCCCACCGCGGTGTCTGCACACCAGGCAGGGCAGAGAGGAGCCGGTGGAGCCGCAGGCACTGGGTGAGTTTGGGCACGAAGGGGAGAGCACATCTGCACCGGGGAGAGCCGTGCTCTGCTTTGCTCTGGTGCACGCGAGTGGCTGCGTTTGGGTTTGCCATCCCAGAGCTGGCGGCAGGGCATGGCAGGGCCCAGAGGGACACTGCGGGGGGGATGCAGCGCTCGCCTCACTGGGGCTGGGGAGAAACACTGGCCATGTTTCCCCAGGGAACCAGCCTTGGTGGCTCAAGACAGTGACAGAGGGAACAGGAGCCATTTCTTGGTAGGAGAAATAGTTCCCCACCCTGGGACTTCCCCAGGGACACTCCAGCCCGCAGACGGGTCTCAGCTGTTCCCGGCTGTATAGGAGGAGGTGCCCAGCTCCCAGTGCCTCCCCATGGTGTGAGCTGACCCCCCCTACCGTGGCCAGCATCAGTCCGTAGGGGCAGGCAGCGTACGCCGGGATGAAGAGCGGGGCTGGCAGCAGCTGGATGGTGGCTGTGCTCAGCAGCACGGCGGCAGCCAGGAAATCTGCCAGGGCGAGGAGGAAAAGGGGGCGAAGCTGGGGGATGGGACAGGACACAGTGTTAGCTCTGGCTGGCAGCGTCACCCCGGTGGCAGCAGCCCCTCCCTGGCTCTGCAGAGCTGCCGCAGCCACGTCCCTCCCCAGGCCGGCCGGGAGCGGAGCTGGGACTGGCTGGGCCAGGGGGGGGGCCCAGCTCCCAGTGCCTCCCCATGGTGTGAGCTGACCCCCCCTACCGTGGCCAGCATCAGTCCGTAGGGGCAGGCAGCGTACGCCGGGATGAAGAGCGGGGCTGGCAGCAGCTGGATGGTGGCTGTGCTCAGCAGCACGGCGGCAGCCAGGAAATCTGCCAGGGCGAGGAGGAAAAGGGGGCGAAGCTGGGGGATGGGACAGGACACAGTGTTAGCTCTGGCTGGCAGCATCACCCCGGTGGCAGCAGCCCCTCCCTGGCTCTGCAGAGCTGCCGCAGCCACGTCCCTCCCCAGGCCGGCCGGGAGCGGAGCTGGGACTGGCTGCTCACCAGGGAGGCTGGTGCAAGCGTCCTCCATCTCCTGCCTCGCTCCAGTCCCACTGTGCATTAAGCCCAGCAGCAGCAGTGCTGGCCCAGCTCTGCCTCGGGCTTAGCTGGAGCTGAAACCCATCCCTGCGCCCCTAGGAGCCAGTGGCACTCACCTGGATGTGGCAGCACCGTCTCTGCCGGGAGGTGACAGCGAGGACCGATCCACTGCCCAGGAGGCTGGAAGAGACGGGGCTGGTGGTTAACGTCCTGGCGGAGCAGACCTGTTGGTGCCTCAGCATGGTGGCTTCCCACTGAACCCGTCCCGGCAGGGATCCTGCGCTCAGCCTCCCCCGAGACAGGTAGGGACTGGCATGGGTATGGGGTGGGTGGGAGGGGGTCCCTTCCCCACAAAGGCAATGGGACGGGGCAGAGACCCAGGTTGGTGCGAGGCCAGATCCCCACGCCCCCAGTTCGGGATGTGTAAGACAAGAGGCCAAGTGCAGGCAGGGCTACGGATGTGGCGC